CATGGAAACCCTCCCAAGTTATTATATCATATGTACGCGATTTGTTTTCATCTTCTTTTACATTTAATTAATATTTCAATCAAGTGTCATGGTGGGTGCATACGGTACGTTACCAAGTACACAACATCCATGATAGAAAAGTAGATCATACTGAGACATAAACAGTTAAGTTAACTCTCCACGATGTCAAGCACAACATCCGCCGCAGTTTGAACCCCTGCCTTCGACCTCCGCATCAAGCATGTGGGGGGACAAGTCGAATGCCTGAGTGAGCATGAACGGTCGGTGCGGAAGCAGTCAGAGTGCCTTTGTCTCTGATTGTCGGTCAGCCCAGCAGCAGGCGTTTCCCGGGTATCATCTGACATCGGGCCCCTTTCCTGTCTCTCTCCCGTGTTATTGGAAAGCTCTGACGGGAAGTATATAACAGCTCCACGCGGCAACTGCCGACTCAAGTGCCCTGAGCCTTGCTCTCAACTCAATTGTCAAGATTTAAATAGGCAAAAAGCCTGTTGTTACTTTGCCTGGGTGCATGGCTACAGCTCAATTTGTTTGCGGGAGACAGACTTTCAGAAGGGGAGTCGCCTGCCTGCATCTCTTTGCTCTTTTTTTCTGAATTGTCACTCAGCTTCTCTCCGCTCGCCTCCTGTTACTTCTTGGCTTTGTGTCGCTATGGATATTCCTGAACGGGTTGCTCCCGCAGGCAACCGTTTCAATTATTTATCCCTTTCTATTTCAATAAGAGAATGTGGGAGACGAAGTCAATCTCTCGATAATGCAGCCAAACCAACTCTTTTCTTGGGTCCATCAGGCAGGTTTTTCTCTCTTTTATTCTAACCCAAAGTATTGAGTAACAAACTGCAATGAAGTATTTGAAGCTCACAACTTCCAAGAATTATTATTTTTTGTATTGTTTCTCAACAATGGGAAATCGCAAATGCGCTGTGTACAAACAGAAGCATTTTGGCAAAGCCTCCTTGTGCTTTTTCTTTTTACAAATGGCTTCAAACTGAACGATAGAAGTGGATCATAGTTGAAGTGCTGAAATCTCAGCAGCTGGTTATACTGAGGAAGCACAGACAGAGTTGTGCTTGTAATTATGATCATTAAAAAAATCTATGAGAACAAAAATGCGGTGATGCATGACCGGGTCTTTCATCGTGCAGTCAAATGACCCCCTTTAATTTTCAATGTACATAACATGCAGGCTGAAAAACTAGATGAGGCGTTAGGGGACAGGATCATTCAGGATCATTTATTCTCACTTCAATTCATTTCTAATGATTCCATCATTCTTTTGATGCCCCCTTTCTCCAATCGTACCCCAGAGGCTAAGAACTAAACACCATTCTGTCTTTAAATGGAACACTGATTGTTTTTCATGTTTATTCACAACCCACGGGTCAGTCCAGCCTCCTATAATCTGCTTTTTCGTCCAAGGACAATTTGAGTGAGATCATGAATAAAAATGATCTCAATAATATTGCTGGGAAAGAACCCGTGGCAACTATGAATACCATTAGAGCTTGATCAGAGGCTGTTAATGCCACATTTAAATGGCGAAAGCAACAGTATAGAGCTTGCATGAGTGACTCCGGAGGCTGGCTGTTTACATTATTTTGTCATCGGTCTATTCATTTATCAATTCATCTTCATAGTACTGTATTCCAATGGGGTTTTCAATAGTAAAATAGACTATAAATCCCTTGAGGCGTTGTTTTGTATATTCCTATTATTTTAAGTCTTTGTCTTCTCTAGTTTAACTCATAACATGGCAACAGCAACATGAGGAATGAGAAAGTCACAAAGTGACTTTGCTTTCTGCCAAGCCGCATGGAGCGGCGACATCAATTTTCCTCCATCCAAATACCCTTGACCTAGATGGTGAAACATCCAAGGGAGTAGAGAATTAAAAACGAGAGAAAATACAATTACGTGCAAAAAAAAAAAAAAAGAAATAGGTGATCAAATATAGTATTTTCCTTGAACTGTGGGGTGACGGCGATGACTGTTCTCATAATATTAACATAAAGTACGGTAAGGACGATATGCTAAGGGACATGTTCAACCTGCAGACTCTCCCAGAAGAAGGAAGGTTACCACAAAGGCTGCCAAGACCGTACAAATTACACATACTGAGTCACGGTGTCTGGATTCTCACATTCTCGCTGGTGAGTCGAGCTCACAAGCGCTAATTAGGAATGAGTTGTTTTGAAACTGACCCAAAATCCTCATGCCAAAACGTTTTTTTTTTTTTTTTTCTAAGTGTTAGTGGTTTCATTCCTCTGTGTCATTTACGTTCTCTACTCGACTTTGAGGCCTCTGTTGGGATCAATCTAGGTTCAATGCCTAAAGTACGGCCAATCGTGTGTCTGGCAATAGGGTGGAGTGAGAAGGAATCCATTATCATATATTATGTCCGGGTGTGTTGTGGGCTGAAACAATCACATTGGTTCCGGTCACCTCCTTTAAAAGCAGGGCGAAAACTGTATTTGTTCATGCATTGCCAAGACATACAAAATGAAAAAGTCTTTCACATTGTAATATTAATGCTTGTGGAGTTTGTTTTCATTCATTGTGCAAGCCCAGTTTGCCGCAATTAATGATAGTCTTTCACAGGTGTTCATTTGGACAGGTGTCATCATCAGACATCAAGGAAAGAGAGGAAATTCAGGCCTGTCTTCAGTATGATGAGTCCTAGAGGCATCCTGCTTAACCATAAAGAGACACAAACATTAAGCTAATTTTGATACAAGTTTGAGATGGTTCTGTCCGGTTAAACTGTCTTATTTAGTAATTAGCTACTTGTAATTTGCTTCTTGACGCCCAGGATTACACGGTCTTTGTAATGCATTGGCGGTCTCAGTTATAGCAGGGCAATGTAGAAGACCACACTCGATGTGGCAAGTTTTTTCATTTTCTTTCTCTTGCCCCCCCCCAGTCCTTATTTTCCTGAGTTCAACATGCTCTCTATCAGTCTCCTTTGGGTTTTCGCAACAGGGAGGCGTTGAGCCATAACAGTAAACCAGCATGTGATGTTAGACCAAGACAAATAATACCCTAAGTGCCTCTCCTCTCTGAGTCTGGGCCTTTTAGTATTTTACTGGGTGCCACTCTTGCATTTGCAGTAAACAATTCTACTCATGGATGTTTTTTCTTACATGCTCTTTTGCGGATCTTTTCATACAGTCATCGTATTTACATACAGGGACTTTGAAGCCTGGTCTTGGATCTCATATCTCTGGACCTAAGGAATACTCACCCCGGCTATAGTAGGCCAGACATAGATAGCCGATCATCAAAGGAGCCTTCGTAAAGTCCTTCATAATATGAGGCACGACAGCAAGTTGACATAGTCAATCTGGGGTTTTTTTCTGAACAGGTACCAGAATAAACGTGTGTCCTTTATCAGGTAACAGTGTGATGCATGATGCAGCATGTGTGACTTTTTTTTCAGACTGTGGATTTCCTTTGAATCTCGGTAGAAGAAAAAAAACAAAAAAAACAAACACCTTTGAGTGATGCAGGTTGAGCCGTTACACAAAAACCACATTAACTTTTTCTGTCCATTTCTCTGACTTTCTCACTCCTCTGCACCAAGCCAGTTGCTAAGACACACACGGGCATCTACGTTTTCAGATGATAAAGAGCCTCTTTTCTTCTGACAATGTGACCAGCAAGAGAAAAACCTCCTTTCACCGGGTGCAGATGTGTGAGTCTAAATATCAACAGTTGACGCTCATGGTAACATCGTCTTTCCTTTTCATACAACTCGTGCATTCTCCTCACGGCGATGCATGCATGCTTTGTTATTATTGCGTTGGTTTGTCAGCAGCTCTCCCGTGCACGGCTCCATATTTTAAGCATTTATGGATTAACGGCCCTCATCTGCGCTTTTAGAATCCATTGCTTTCAGATTCTACATTAAAAACAGTATGAGAAACTGAAATACAAATGATCACTTTAAAGAACTATTTTAAGTAAAAGAGCTGTGGGAGCACAAGCTTTTTCCCTAACTTTAGAAATGCACCTCCTTTGCCCTGCCACGCATTTGCTTGAGGCTGTATATGCAGTCTTAATCCATTTGCAGTTTCATACATTGGTTTAAGGGTTTAGTTTGGGGGAGGAGAGCAGAGATGGTCAGGTAGGTATCGGTCTGTGTTTTGAGATACCACAGTAAAAGAAGAATTCTGACATCCTTTTGACACCTTACCTGATCAGAGAAATAATTGAGTTTGACTAGGTATGTAATGCAATCAAAGACATTGAAGTCACCCCCATATCTTGTGACTCCAGCGATCTGACTTTACAACATGATTTTGGAACACTTTACCATGAAATTTAAGAAAAGGAAAACAGCGCAGAGTAGGGTGAATGTTTATTGCTCAGCCCAACCAAAGGTCTTATATTTCCCGGAAAGATATTTTAGTAAGCCAAATCCGCACACATTCTTGCAACCTTGAAGATGGAAATCATTAACTGAAGCTGATCATTTTCATTTTCTTAAGGCATAAGTGTGCAGATGTATCCATAGTTTAAGATAAAAAAATGTTTGATTTAAAAACTATCAAGTATTAATCTAGCAATGTTGGTGTATATCAACGTACTTATCTACAGTTTGTAGAGTGAAATTAAATACTGATACAGTGACTGATGTCATTGAAACTAACTTTGGAAGACAATTTGCATGATATTTTTAAATAAAAATAAACTTGGACAGAAAGCAGCCATCGGAAAGGTGCAGCTCTAATGTCTACTGTGATATTTTCGAAGCCCTTGAAATATTTGTGTTTTCAGCAGATCACAAGGACTTTAGATTATTGCTATTTGCTGTTAGTATCAGGACCAACACCTACACTCCGGTTATAATCCACACTTTATACCACTTGAACTGCATATACAATTAGGCTTCTTATTTCTATTGCCTAGTATTATTACATCACCTACATTACAACATTGACACGTTTGGACTTTTGAAAGAGTCAATAATGCATTGTATACAATTTATTTGACCGTGACTACTTTGTTTATGAATTTAAAAGATATTTTACATTCACATTTTACAACATTGTTTCATACAGTATTGGTCGCCTCAAGATGAATCTTCTTAGTATGTTGATCCCCTGAGCTTCACTCTAGTGCTACCAGCAGTACTTATTTCTCTCTTTATTCACTTTAATATCATGTTCTTGATGGATTACCAAAATCCTATCCCTCATTTGCTTCGTGGATAAAATCCAGATAAGATATTCAACCCATACGTTTCTCTGTTGGCCACATTACCATTCGGATTGCCTTCGGTTCAGGCAAATCAGTGTCAGCTACATTTCAATGCAGAGGGAGGAAGTAAAAGATTAACATTAATTAAAATAATTATTTGCACATCATTTATAACATGATTTAGGTGTAACTAGAGAATCTTTACAGCAAAAACGATTTACTACTAAAAACTATAACCAACAGTTAATCCAGCATTGTCTCTTCCTTTGTCAAGAAAAAGATTCCAGTTTTATTTTATAAGTGTAGCCCAGTGGGGAAATATAACGTTCACCACTAAAGCCAGCAGAGGGCGCTGTGCTTCTGAGACGGCCAGCATGACGTGGGAAACGGGAAGTGAAGTTCACTCTTAACGTGACTCTCCTGTGGAGCGGCTGATAATTTTCTTTGAGTAAATACATTCTGACTGCCATCTCTGTACAGAGCCATTTAAAAATGTACGTAAAACGGTGCGCGGATAATTCAGAAAATGTATAGTTTGATGCTAAATGCGCCGATGTTTTGGTTGGTCTCATGTTTGCAGATGTTGTTCAGCTGTGTGTTCATGGGAGAGCTACAAGGCTAATGGCGCTCTCAAATTTTTAAAAAGAAAGACCCGTAAATAGGAGGGGGGGGGGGTGTCTATAATTTGGAGATTGGATTAGCTCACAGAGAACGTGGAGGGAGAAGGTTCGCTTCGGGGGAGGAAAACACATCCGACAGCCCGTCACCAGAGAGACCCGTTCACCATGTCGGAGACAGTGAGGACGAGCAGTGCTCCGAAGAGGGAGAGACTGATGCTTTAGGACAATTACAGGCACAGAGTGAAACGCGGGAAAAAAAGCCATGGACGCTATCGACACCTTAAATAAGGTTTCAAGTAGGTCATATGTTTATCAAGGGGTTCAAGAGCACTGGCATGCAATTCTACAATCAGCCCTGAAACAGAAGCCTGACGCTGTGACAATAGCCGTCAAAGACCAATTCATTGAGGTTGTGCAAGATTCCTCTCTCGGAAGAGGAGTTACGTAAAATGGTCAAGGAGAAGCCCCAGTCATCTCTGTTAGAGGTACGTGAAGAGGCCATTGCCTGGTCCTTTGAAGACAAGCCCTGTAATACCAAGGAGAAGTACGAGAAGACGGGAAGCCCATTTGCTTCAAATGTAAAGGGGAGGGACATATCGCGAGGGAGTGTCCACGGCGCAAACCAGAAAGCCATTCCACTACCACCAATGCATCTACTCAGGAAAACTAGCCACCTCGGATGCCAAGAGCCAGGCTCTAAGACTATTAACCGTGAGCGGTTTGTTGAGCGGGCGGTGGGCGAGTGTCGGGAAGTTTCGGTTCAAATTAGTGGCTGTTGGATACAGGGAGTCGTTTCTGAATCTTTCTTCGGGCAAAACTTACTCGGGAAAGAGGAAGATGAGTGGCTCAAGTTGACTGCACTCTTTGGCAATTCCCTACATGGGTTATGTTGAACTGGATATGGAGGCTATGGGGTTAAACAAGAGTGGGCTTCTGAGTCGTCAAACATCCATTCCCAGAAGTGTCAGCCGACGAGAACGAAAAGTTGAAACGACCACAGTCAAAGAGCCTTCATGATTCAGTGGCAGGTTTCATTGGTATGAACATAGAGAGATGCAAGCAGTTGGTTTACGGCAGAGTTGGACACTACCTTTCAGGGAGAGCTTGATCCAGACTGGAGGGAAGTATTTCAGCGTGTACATAAGTGCAAGGTATCAGAGAAAATATCTGCAGCAAGGATAGCGGGCAGAGATGTCACGGTTTGGGATTCACGTCGTTTTATTTTGTAGTTTTCATGTCTCCCGCTTAAAAGTCTAATTCAGCGGTCCATTTAAAATCCAATTTAACTGTAAAACAACAGGCACTTAACCAAATATGAATCATACAAATTGCCTTTTATCGTGAAGAATTGTGAATCTCTTTGTTAAGTTCTCTATGGTGTGTAACAAACTGACAAACGCAATTGTCAACTGCACTGGATGACTGTAAAAACATTCATTTTCTTTAGTAAAGAGTCACAGAACATGTGCATCATGAACAGTCCCTCACTGCATTTAGAAGGTTTTTCAGTGACTGAAGTTTGTGTTTCAGGGATTTTGGTCCAAGTGATAGAAGCACTTTTTGAATGAACTCACCAGGTGTCCAGAGTCTGAGGGTACTCCAAATTCAGGGTGTGAATAGAGTAGGCACATGGCATGCGGAAAATTTTGAAGGTCACTTAAGACCAGTGTTACTTCCAAAACGATTGCATTGGCGGTCGACTCAAGGTGCAGTGAGCGAGGATAGGCCGCACCGATCCCCATGGAGGTGTGCAATGTGTTGGGAAGGTCATTGCAGTCCTAACAAGGGCAGCATTAAAACCACAATTGCATTTCTATGGCAGAATACACAGCGGTTATATTTGTGCCTCACAGCAAAACATTCTCCACAAAATAAGTAACTACTACCAAAACATTAACAGAACACATTAGATTTGGCATCTTGCGGCGTGGAGTTAAATGATTTTGACTAAAGTCTACTTACAAAGCATGTCTTGAAGTCAGTGCTCTGATCGCCGGAAGGCCACGGGGGACTGCTGTCCGCTTCCCAGTGACATCTGTGCTCTAAAAATAAGTGTTCAAGGACAAATCAATTGACAACTCTGCTGCTACATAAAAATGACTTAAGAAACGTACTGCTGGAGTGACTTGTTGCAGATATTCCATAAGATCCTTGCAAACAACCCCAACTTGAAAATCTCAAGGAAGCGAGAAGTGCATTTATCAAGTTCTTTAAAGAACTTGTTTTTGCTTGCTAAGCGACAGAATTCTGCCAGAATCTAAGGGAAAAAGAAGGACAAATTAAGATTTAGTCATACTGGACCTACGACAAAACATTTCGACCAAATCCTACGTCACAACGGGCAGAAAACTAGTGTTGCAATGGCTTCCAGATTGAATATAAATTACAGCAATTGCCGCGTCACAATTTGCTAATGACTTCCAGGTGACCCAAAACAAATGGGTAATTTTTGCAACTGGGGAGGAAGTAATTGGTTTCACCTGGATATGGTACTAGATCCTGCTCATGCTTAACCGAAATGTGCATTGGGTTATCAAGGTTAATAAGGTATTGCGAAATCGGTGTTATGGCTGAACGTGACACTAGTGAGGTAGATGAAACGCAAAACAAGTACAGAAACATTGTTACAAGAACCTTTGTGTATTAAACACATGTAAATTGGCCTCATGTATTTCCAGTCACTGACTGTATATCAAAGTAAAAACAAACGTTGATAACTTGCATGTAAGAGGTTTAAGAGAGTTTAGTTACCGCTATGTGGGTGCCATATTGCTGGGAGCCATTAAATTACCAGAGAAAGGCAGAGTTTTTTTTTTTTTTTACTTAATTACAACCTCTCAGCTAAATCAATGACGTCAATTCGTATTAAATACAATGAATACCATATAACAGGTTTTGTGGTGTACTCGCATAACTGCTGAAATACACTTAAAATGTTTTTTTTTATCAGTATAATCAAATGTTGGTGTCAGCAAAGACACATTTATATTTTTGGATGTTTTTGGATATTCGCAACTTTTTGGTTTCTTGGTTATACTTAAATCTTCAATGGCCCTTACCTGGAGCTCTGCTCACTGAAAACAGGACCATATTTCAGATATAATTTTCCAGTATTCACACCTCACATCCTATCAGCATGGCTGTTCTCTTGGTTGTATTTGCATTTGTATGAGGAAGTTGTGAAATATTCATTGAAACAACCAAACTAGAATTCGGTCAATGCACAAAAAAAATATTTAACAAAAGCAATGCATAAAATATTCATATAGATAAAGAACATAAAATCATACGGTGTATTGATACTAATGATTTGTTTAAGAAATGCTCACTTTTCTGCACCCTCTGTCCTCTTGCATTATTAGCAATCAAGCAACAACACAAGTATTTTCCAACCGTCCAGAGTAAAATAAAAAAGATTTATGCTGAACTAGATAAGTAAAAAGAAATGAGATCATAATGGCCTTGATGTCTTAACTCAGGGATTTAGTGAAGGGAACCGAGGGACAGGATAAAGGAGGACACTGGCAGCTTGTAGTCTTCATGGCCAAATCCAGACCCCCGTTGTCTTCCCGTAGGAGCTTTTTCGGCTCATAGACATTGTGTGCTGTGTAGCTCACAGACTGTTGCACCCTTGTTATCATCTTCACTTCTGCTTTAAATCCCCGTCGTGTCCTTATTCCTGAGAGTTGCTGTCCCTTAACCACATCGTCTGAAGGAGAAGCTCCCCCCTCCACCCCCCCCCAGTTCTCCATTCAAACTATCGATCTGTGCTGAGGACAGTGGAAGCATTGATCCCCCTGAAATGCATACGCTACATGTAGTGGCCATTGGACTCGCGGGCAGATCCGGCCTTGGGTCTGGCCTACTTGACCTCATTGATTAATGGTCAAAACTGCTGTCGGACAGTATAATTCGTAGGTATTTTTCAGATGATTCATTTAAGCCCTTTAACTATCTACTGCACCGTTTGCGACGGCACATTTTGAGTCATATGTTATTGAAAACTATCGAGCCAAACTATTACTTTTATTAAGCTTTGTTGTTGTAAACCAGATAAGATGTGAGCATGCAAATGATTCATTTCCACTACTTCTTAATGAGGATATTAAAGGGCTACAAAAAAAAGACTTCTTTATTTAAATAGATTTCACATGGATGTAACTCATCCATGTGAAATCTATTTGTAGTCCTTTAACATCCAAGCAGCGTTGTGTTTTAATTATTATGCCTGCTAACTGAGCAGTGAGTTAATCGGTTCAATACAGCCTCAACAGGCTAAATAAACAGCAACAAATTATAGAGGTATTGTCCTTTTGTTACATTTTCAATCACGGTAAGAACATCCTGCAGCGTAACCTCACTGGTGTTAAAGCAGGCTTTTGTAGGATTTGGGAGCTTCTTTCTTCGTATTATATCCATAAACTGTTGAGGACACAGTCTCTTGTGTAGCATTGGACATGATTTCCAGCCAATCTTTGCAAGAGAATGGGAAAAAAAGGGCACATATATACTGTAAGTCAGTGGACACGGTCATCCGCTCTTGCGTTTACATTTGAGAAGGCAAAGTGTTCAGTTTCTTCGTGTATCATACAGAAAAGTCTGAATTCTGTAGGGCAGTAATGGAAAAAAAAACTAAGGCATCCTTATTGTTCAATGTAAAACCAGTCTGAAAAGCTCCATAGAAGAAAATTCTAATTAAAAGCCTATGTTAAAGGGGACAATATGCCTTTGATATTGACTACGTTCAAATAAAATCTTTCTCTGTTGTCTACAGAGGGTAAATCAATCAAAATAACCACATACTATTCTGACTTAATCCTAACCAGAATCCTAGATTATTGTCTGTAACATTGTTCATTCATCTAGCGGACATGTCCAGGAGTGTAAAACGGTTCTTTGTTAGTTTACTTTCCTCAAAGATAAAAATTAAATGTGAAGATATTCCCCTCATTCATGTCCTTTTCTAGTTTTAACTAACTTTTAAATATGTACCACTTCATAAAAAGCATTAGCTGATAGCTGAAGGGAGCTGAAGGGAGCCACACGGCGACTTGCCAGGCTTCTCGGGATGGGCCCGATAAAAGGCAGTCAGAATCCCCGGGTCCATGATGATTGAATAAAGGTGCACATATTGATGCTCCCTTAAACCTAATTACTTAACTTTGAAATAAAATAACATATTTTCCAAATGTAGGGCATGTATGTTTTATTTTAACACAAATGATATAATTCTAGAGGGGCATGTATAACTTTGTTTGGTGCATGAATATTTAATGATCATTAACCATTACAGGGTTATTTGATGAGTTTTTTATTACCCAAGTTTCATGTGACAGTCTCCCATTACATTTTAATGATGTAGTTTCAGAGTGGTCGTCTGAAGCCGTCTATCTCTTTGGGGCAGCATGGTAATTGAAAGGAGGTTTCAATTTGGTGCATGGAAGCCACTGGAGGTATTTCTAAAAATAAACTTCCTTTTAATGAGTTTGTTCATTAAAAGTTCCTGAAAAATGTAAAGAATTTCATGCAGACAAAGAAAAATCCCATATAATGACTTGACATTAGTCAAACCTCACAATTACAACATTCATAGACATTTGTCTTCCACAAAAAAGGTGTGACTTTTTTAGCATGAAAATTCAAAGATGAAAACAATATTAGTATGGGAGGAAATACTTTTATTTCTTCCCCTCATTACTCACTTTTATCTTCATCCTTGGATCCCTTTACAATCAACATGAAAGGGGAAAAAAGAGATTTAACTTCTTAAGTGAGAGAAACAATGTTACAAACAGGAATTAAATTTGGCTGTTTCCCCATTCATCCAACACACCATGCATAGCACTTTGAAGGTATACCTTTAATTGTGATATAACAATGAGAAAAAAAGTTGAATCGGTTGGATGGAAACAAAAGTTTTGCTGCCATTACAGCTGAGAGTCTTTTGCTGTTTGTCTCCGCCACACAGTGAGACACAAAGAAGGTTAAATTCATCACGCCGTCACGCAGTTCATGAACATACACACAAACAAAAATAACAACACATGCTAATCTGACTTCCAGACATAGCCTTACTGTGTGTTGGGAGGGTTTGCAGTGTTTCTTCGAGTCACGTTTAACTGCTTGGTCCTCTGTTGCAGGGATCGTTGGGGATCTTGTGAACAGTTGGGTTTCTTGGCGACGCGAAAGTTGTTTGTCCTCTCTAACACCCAAGCTGGATCCATAGGGGCAGAAGAAGCTTTCTTTCTTGTTGAGCTGCTTAGACCGGGAGTGAGGACTGGGGGGAGCCGCTAGAAAATGTTTTCTTCTGGGAAGGGTTGGATTGGAGAGGCCTAACCACTGAAAGCTGGAGAGCCTGTATCTTGAATCGTGGTGTATTGATATGGAGATTAAATTGCAGACAGGTGAACCCTATTTCAATAATTCTCACATGCAAATGAAATCTAACTGCAAATGGTTTCGTAAAGACGGTGAATATTTATGCACTCAAAACTTTTCAGATTTATTTTGGAAATATTTTTAAATTAATGTAAGATTTCCTCCCACTTCCGAACAATGGACCATCTTGTGTTGGTCAATTACATAAAATCCCAATCAAATACATACCATTCTGTGGTTATACCTCGTCAAAATGAAGCAAAGTCCAATGGGCTGAACGTGTGCGAGGGACTGTATACATTTCTTTACATTATCAGCTCTTTATTTTAGCATATTTTTTGTTGCTTCAGTTTGCTTAATTGTTAAACATGCATTTACAGATGAAACCAGCACTTTCACTGCATTGGGGTCTTCATTCACTTCACAGTTATTGATAGTAATAAATATAAAACTGTAGAGTTAAATGTTAAGACACTTACAAGATATGCATTAAAGTTACCTGACATTTGTAAATATCTATGGAAATAGAAGTTGACGTTTGCTCTACCCCTCTTTACATATATCAAGTGCACATTCTGTGCAATTTTTGTTGGGCATCTGACTAATCACTACACCTTTACAAACACACCTATAAAATGAAAGGTCCATCATTGTTAGCAGTTACACTTACAGGTATACCGCCTCGGAATAAGTGGCGCCTGAGAAGCCTAATTGAAGACAAGAAAACAACCTTAACTAGGGGAAAGTCCATAGCAACACTAGAAAGGCACTGTGCCTCAAGGAAAGTCATTTTGAGGGCACATTACTTAGATTCATGTCGGGAATGTTTTCCTGGATAAATCTGAGTTGTCAAGCATAATGGTGAAAAAAACTTAGCCATATTTAATAAGTTATTTGATAATACCATTTAAAGAACAACCGTGTGTATAGCATCTCCTTATAGCAATTGTTTTTCAAAATGTAATTA